TCCTCTCAGTACAATGCTGGTTAGTATTTATCAGCACTTTTGCCGTGTGTGTGTGTGTGTGTGTGTGTGTGTGTGTGTGTATATATATATATATATACACACACACACACATATATTCATGTGTGTTTGTCTGTGTGAATTCATGCATTCAAGTCAGTCTTGACTTTGGGCAACTACTTGGACAAATCCCTGCAGTTTTCTTGACAACATTTTTGGAAATGGTGTGTGAGTGTGTGTGTGCGTGTGTATTTAAAAAAAAACAATAGACATAGTATAATTATAAAGAGAAAATATTAAAATAATACAGGTTGAGGGATATCCTTCCCTGCTGCGAGGACAAATTCCATGACTTATTAAACGAGATCCAAAAGTATCTTGCGCAACGTTCAAGCTTGCCCTTAACCCTAATCCAAACCCACAAGCCCTTCTGAGAAGCCAAAGGGATCTGTGAGAAATTACGGCACCCATCTATGCCATAAAAAGATTCGTCCAGGCACCATGATGATCATTGACATCCCTGCCCTACCCAGCACAAGTAACAGCTTTCAGAACAGTATCTTGCAGATTAAGAAATATTCAATGAATAGCAAACTAATTTTTAATTAGTAACTAGGCTGATTTGACCTGGGTGCTAGGCACAGAAATCCTCTTGCACTTTTTTCCACTATTCTTTTTTTAGTCTGACGAACAAGATTTTGTTTTGGCAGTTCTTTCAAAGGAAAAGAGAACGAATGGGAGTGTGGTGTTCTGGTACTTAATTTGGGGCAATAATACATCTAATTGCTCTGCCCAGAATGTTACTGAAAAACATTTTAAAAGATTGGAACCACCTCTTGTTTATAGAGAATCATGGAATATAAAAATGGCATTGGACCTTGGAGATCACTGCCATCAGTGAACATGACAAATTTATGTTTATTTCTTGAACAATATTTATAGCGGACTCGGAGCGGGCTATGAGGAATGAGGAAGCAACACAGAAAATGTAAACAAGGGTACATTTATAGTATGAGGTTTAACTACACCATAAGAGAAAGATGACAGCAAACTGGCTTACTTCTTCCTCTATTATTCTTCCTCTGTGATCGTCGACACAATCATCAAAAGACATTTCACTGAAGGCGCTGCTTATGCGTATCCTATTTATGTACTGCTGTTTCCATGCCTTTCTGTTAAGTACCTTGGCAAGGTTTTCGTTCATCCTACAGTGCAAAACAATTTCATCAAGGAGCTTTAATGAAGGCAAAGGCAAAAGCAAAATAAGCAATTGAAGCTTTGCTCATCATTTGGGAAAACACCCCTTCATTTTTGTTGTTCTTTATTTTTTAAAATTTAACCAGTCTGTTGTAGGAGACGAAACATCTGGAAAAGGGAATCTAATAAAAGTGAATGTAAGCAGGTTCCCTATTTTGACCACAGTCGAGCAGTAGTTTCAGTCACTTTCCTTCCTCTTTAGTGCTGTTGTGGCTTATCACTATTACCAACTAACAATATAGAAACATGCCAACAGAAGTAAAAAGAATCTTAAATATCTAGAACCGTATTATAAGTATTATTATTGCTTATTCTTATTATGTGGTTATAGATGTTGAAGGTAGTTTTAACATGGAACATGGAATGGGGCAAAGAAGGTTCATTCATTTTACAGGTTCTGAAATCAGCATTCATCGGTTAGAAGCTAAGAATCACTCAGGGCTAATCTATAGTCTTCTGGTGAGAACTGGAGAAAAGATACTTGCCACGTGTCTGGAACAGACAATTCCAGACATACAGCAAGTATCCCACAGAAAGTTTGTAGACTTGATATGGTGAAATAAATAACTTCTCCGTGAACAAAAACTAAGTCATATATATATATATATATGATCTGCAATTTATTTATTTACTTATTTATTTAACAAATTTATATGGCCGCCCAACTCACACTTTCTGCAGAAAATTAAATCAGGGCTTACGTCCTAAGATTTTTTCCTCCCACTCTTTTAGGTCAATGGACTTTGGGCCATTATTTTCCCATCCTTGACATTGGGAGACACATAACATTTCTAGCATAGTGCTGCCATATTGATTTCCACCACATCAGTCCTCACTCAAAAACAACTCTATTCATGTTGGCAGTTTTACTTAGATTTTTCCATTCCAACTGCCCTTCCAAACGCTAATCCTCAACCAAAAATAGAGTTTTCTTAAAGATTCTTTTCTTTGACGTTTGATTTTCCCTCCCTTCTTTTTAGCTCCTTGGGTTGACCTATCTAGCTTCCTATCAACAATTCTAATTTCTGGTCAAAAACATGCAACTATTTATAGCTAAATCAAACATGAATTGCCTAATACTAGACACACCATATCTGGTCTGCACCTACCTGAATGACCACTAGATGGGAGAGGGGTTCACCATATATCTCCATGTTGCCATTTAGTGGTCATCTGATATTTGCAGCTCCCATATGCTATGCCTATAGTTTCATTTATTGTGCCCTCGGGCATGGGAAACAGTCTTATTGCACACCTGTAACCAGTTACATGGGATCTGTACAGTAGAACTGGTTTCAAATAATAATGACTTTTTCTCTGTCGTATAAGCTGCTCATATTAGCAGCAGCTGGAGAAGTGTGTAGTGTTGAGGCAAGATAAGGATTTGCTAAGCAGAAAAAAAGTGGTGCTGAAGGAGAAAGTAGTCATGGCAAAACCAAGAGCAGGGATGGAACAGCTGATTATGTGACAGGCAAAAATGGAAACAGGCTGAAGAAGTTTCTTGGATTTCATTTGACTCTGAAAAAAAAAAAGACCAGAATATTCAGGACCACCATGTTATTAGAAGATCTAGAAGACAGAAAGGAAGTTCCTTGGTGATTTATTACCATCCAAAGCAAGTTAAATAAGGTTGTTGCTGTCATCAGCCTGTCTCAGACTGAGAAAGTTTCTCCTCCCAGTATAAAAACTGTTACCAGACTAAGATTCAAGAAAAAAGCCTTCAGGTTATTTTATTGGGTGTTCAGCTTCTCAGCCAGCAGACCATCTGTTGGATTTGCAGACCACTTCACTGCATTGCCAGGCTCAGCACTTTGAAAGGTCAGGAGCAGTTCATATGTTTAAGAAATAAGTAGAGACAGGTATATTTGTGATTAGGAGTTGCTTGGTTTTCAGTTTAGGATTCCATGAACACCACACACACACTGAATTTTACATAAATATGGCCCCAAGAATCTCCCACTGCATTCAAATCTATAAAGAAATAGTAGCATCATGTGGTGCAGTCTGGCTGGCAGGATATAGAAGTGAGACTTGTGACGGGGATTGTTCTGATGTCAGTTTTCCTTAGGAAACCCACATGTGCTGGTGATCTGCAGAAGTTTCAGTTGTACTGGAAGTGCTGTGGTATATGTCAAACCTCATAATAGAGATAATGTGACAAAAAGATATAGAGAACGTAAGCTTGAAGTGGCAATTCTAGTTTAATCGAGGGAGCTGTGCAGGAAAAGCGCATTTCTATGATGAGGATAGACAAGTTAGAAACAGGCTAACAGCCTTTCAGTGTTGATCTCTAGATTTCAGGAGAAAACTGGAAGAAAGATCATTATTGTGGTCTATCTGACATGGAGATCTACGGACCATAAACCAGAGAGGCTCTGGATCAGGAGGAAACCTGGGGCAGGGACCTGGAGAGACCAAAGCCAGACATTCTTGCAGAACTTTGCAGGGTGAAAAGAAAACAGGGTTCTTAGATGGGACAACCTTTTCTGGATTTTTCTCAGGGTTTGTTTTTTTCTAGATTTTTTAATATCACCTTTATTATTTTTACAAATAACTCAAGGCAGCGAACATACCTAATACTCTTTCTTCCTCCTGTTTTCCCCACAACAACAACCCTGTGGGGTGAGTTGGGCTGAGAGAGAAGGACTTGCCCAGAGTCACCCAGCCGGCTTTCATGCCTAAGGCAGGACTAGAACTCACAGTCTCCTGCTTTCTAGCCTGGGGCCTTCCCCACTAGACCAAACTGGCTCTCTTTACTTTAAGAGGGAAAAGGAACTTTGGAGCAACATGTTGGCAAATCATCTCAAAAGAAATGTAGGATACTGTGACAGTGCATATTTGAAAGAGTAAGCCTGTAAAAATGATTAAGGGCAAGTGAGATTGAGTCTACCACACATGCTGCTGAAAACAATAGATCAACTTCAGATGATTCAGAACTGACAGTGATATCCTTAAGAGCTATTGGGAGGCTGGACATTGGAAAGATTTTGAATTACATTGTGAAAAAAATATCTAAATATGCAGCTACTGTAGCTATACATTTTGTATTTAACTATACACCTGCCATGATCCATTCTGATTAGTAAAATGAATGAAACTCTTCTTCTTTGGTCCCATTTCCTGCATGCATTCATCAATCCCAGAAGATCAGACCATCTTCATTTTTATCTTGTACATTCTTTCCCTTTCTTTTAGTTTTACAAACCCAAATTTCCTTCCTTCCTTCCTTCCTTCCTTCCTTCCTTCCTTCCTTCCTTCCTTCCTTCCTTCCTTCCTTTTCATTAATCCATGTTTCTTACTATTTACTACTCTTAGATCTGAAGTCACAGTATTCATGAGAACACCAAATGAGACCATAGATATTGTCCTCCACCACCCATCACCGCTTTGATGACTCAAGGCTTTCACATAACACTTTTTATTCAGATAAACAAGGATTATCACCCTTATCTTAGCCAGATTACTACCCTCAGCTCACACAACTTGAAGCATTCCAAGCTAATGGTGAGGACAGGACTGATCAGTTTTGGCAGTTTGGGCCAGTATGCCACAAGTGCAACCAAAACCCAATTTCACCTCAAGCATGCTTGCTCTAGTCTATCCAAGCTAGAACTGCTAATCTAGAGTCTACTTTGCAAGCAAACGTACTGCAGCTTCCACCCCACCAACTAGACTTATATGCAATCAGTGTGCATTTTTAGGAATATCGACAAAGCCTAATGCCATCTGTTTGCCTTTTGTTCCAGCAGGAGTGTCTGCAGCCACAGAAGAAAGTACAAAGACAGAAGCAAAATGGATATGGTATCACCTATTCCGTTCAGTGTCTTTGCACAAACCAATGGAACATCCAGCGGCAAAAACAGAACTTGTTATGATTCCGGCATAAATGAAGAAGTCCTTATTTTTGCCATCTTCACTATGCTTTTTTGTGTGTTGGGGATGTTGGGGAATGGACTCGTGATCTGGCTGCTTGGCTGCTCTGTTAAGAGGAACACTTTTGCCATTTACATTCTCAACCTCTCGGTTGCGGACTTCGGTTTGCTCACCACTGAGCTGATTATTGAAATCCACTGGCTTTTTACACACTTGTACTGTGACTTTCCCTATGAACTCTTCCAAACTGTCCTGCTGTTAATGTACAGTACTGGGCAATTTCTCCTGACAGTCATCAGCGTTGACAGATGTCTTTCGGTCCTTTTCCCCATTTGGTATCGATGCCACCGGCCAACGCATCTGTTCACCACTATGTGTGTTTTAATCTGGTCCATATCCTTCATCCTCTCTTCAATTCACTTCACCATTATAGCTGTTGGTGGGTTTGGAAAGAATTATACCTTAATGTATCAGTTCATTGTTAATGCTGTGGTTTGTCTCCCACTTATGACAATCTCCAGTGTTGTCATGTTTATCAAAATCTGCTTCATATCAAAAAACCAAAGACGGAGAAAGCTTTTGACAGCGATCTTGCTCACTCTTTTCTTCTTCTTAATCTTGGCTTTTCCACTAAATGCCTTTTATTTTGTTCTGTATGTTTTCAATTATATACATCCCAACCTTGTACATTATGGCTACTTATGTACCTGTGTGAACAGCAGCATTAACCCCCTGATCTATTACCTGGTGGGGAGACAGAAGGGTAAAACTCGGAAAAGCATCAAAGAATTGCTCCAGAAGGTTTTCAAGGAGGATGAACTGTCTACAGATGAACTGGAAACTTCAGACGGTTCCAAGATCTGAACTCTTTAATTTTACCATTGTCATTCAAAAGATATATTCGTTTCTTTCCAAGCAAGGACATAATTTGTTGTTGTTGTTTTATTTAAAAGAAACTGGTCTTTATTTCTGCATGAATCCAGAATTTCAGTATTATCTGTGCAGACAATTATCTTTGTGGAATATCAAAACATTTGCCAACCTATTTACATCTAACCTATTTACAGAGTATCTCCTACCTTAAGATTAATTAGCTTGTTGTAGTTCAGCCTTTCTCAACTTGAGTGGCCTCCAGATCTGTGTGTTTCAACTTCAGTGTCTAGCCAGTAGGACCACTGCTGAGAATTTTGGAAGTTTAAGTTCACACCTCTGGAAGGTGTCTATTGTAGAAAGACTACTGCATTTCCTGCTGGGCAAGACTCTAAGCCAAGGATAGGCACGTGTGACCTTCAGAATTTCCCAGGTTCTATCAGCTACATGGCCAGTGGTGAAGGATAATGGAAACTCCAGCTCAAGACTATCTAGAGAATCATATGTTGCCTAGCTCCACTAGACCAGGATTTACCAAATCAACTGAATCAAAAGGAAGACAACTGTTACAACAAGGAAAGACCTTATAAAATCACATTTAAATGAAAATGCTTTTGAATGATTCCAGAAGAAAGGAATCAGAGAAAGACTGAACAGGTTTCAGGTGATAATATCTACAAACTGATCTCTCTTCCTACACATGTATATATATTATACTAAGAGCAATTAAATTTCAACCATTTGAAA